AAAAATTTGATACATGGTTTCTTCGAAAGAAAACCATATTTTTGCATTCTGTACTCGTGTAAACAGTTCCTATCGTAACAAAGAAAGAAATAAAAGCTTATCTACCGTGTCCCGCCCAGATACGATCGCAGGTAGATACCAGATTGACCGCTTCATGAGGTTGCGGTAAAATGTGCAGTAAATCTTAGGCAGCGACTTGTCTTCGATTATTGATCCTTCGAGACTGCGACGGCTTCATTATCAGCCCCTGTCATAACTTACGAGCGAATCACCGCGGCCGAGATAGAAGCGCCTAGCCTTTGCAATGTGAAACTATAAACACGCGCTATCATTTATCTAGAAGTTCACCTTATAAAGTTTTCTATCTGTTTAGAATGCAAATTATACGCCCAGAGAAGCGGAGGGTAAAACAATGAAAGGCTCTTGGTATCTCAAATTAAGAGTATAAAAGTATAAATTGTATTCATTGGATGATTTGAGTAAAAATATGATCTTAAATATATGAGTAAAATATGCTCATAGATTGAACTACTTTAGAAACAAGAATGCAGCAGTGGTTCATTATGATAGATTGAAATAAAAATGTCATAAGATGACCTAGGTTCTTAAAAATTTCTGTATTAATGCGATCTGAATAAGGCAGCATCGGCTCTCTACATAAAAGTTACCCGAGTTAAATATATAATTATAGTAATTAAATATATAAATAATAATTCCTTTCCGTCACTTGCGAGTAATTTCACACTGAAAATAAACTAAAATTTTAAGGAAAGCAAAAAAGTCATAGCCAATAAAAAAAATTTATGAGCAAGTGATAAGTAAGTACGCTGTTGGCATCGCGTGCTCGGGAGACATCGGCAGCGCCTCAGGTCCTAAACTTGCCGCCGCGATCTTGCCGCACTGAGATGACGCGCTACGCTGCCTGCGCTATCAGTTCTATTTTCTTGTCTATGATCGGCGGATTTTGCTGGAAACGCCGTCAATGATTGGCTGATGAACTTACGATCTCCTAACTTTTTTCGAAAGTATAGGCCCGGGTCCTATACTTTACTTACGTTTACTTAGCGAGTTTTGAAAGTATTGCCCTAGACTATGAGGAAGGATATCGGCTCCTGGGTGTTGTACTTTGAAAATAGTTACGTACGAGTTAACAACTTCGTTAGCTATTTACTGATTGCTTTCAGGCTAAACTCACCAAAAACATACGATAAATCGGTCGCTATATGTGTACTCAGGTCGCTAAGCAAGTTTTGATAGTCCGGCCTCTGTTCCGTTAGTCTTTTGTTTCGATGTTTTTGCTGTTTTGATATTTTCAAGAATCGTGGTACTCAACGACGACACATAACACGAGTTTTGTTACCGTTGCGATTGAAGGCATATCGACTTGTAACGTGAGTGCTACAGTATGCGAGATTGTCAGGTGGATTATTGCTCAACTTAAATCGAATATTATGAGAAATTTGTGTTGTAGGATTGAGTTGGATTGATTTTCTAGAACGTAGAGATTTCTTGAATATTATTGCATGCGTTTAAACATGTTTTGCAGCATTTCAAAATAATTTAATCCCATGCATGTCAACCTCACACTGAAAAATTCGTGCCGTGAACGATCTAATTGATTTTCACTCAAGCAAAGAAACGCATTAGGCGATCTTTGGTCCCGGATCGTAAGTGATTTGAGGTACTTTAATACAACATATAATTAGAGTCATTTGGATTCCAACGTTTAGAATTTTTTAGAGAAAGCGTAATTATTGGGCAGCTACGAAAATGTACTTTTTTTTTATAAATTTGTTAATTAACACGTTGACTACGATTGCTTCATCTTGTACTATTATTTCATCTTTTGTACTTTTTTTAAGCAGGGTTGCTAGACGGTCATTTTTTTCCGGACAAATTCTGACAAATTCCGTGATTTAGTTCTTCTCAATTGCGTTGGCCGGCTAAACTTTATGATAGGGGTACTTCCTAATTAAATTTTAAATACTGCAAAAAGAAAATAAATGGAATTTTTATAGTGGAACCTACAAATAAACCAGTATACATTGAATTATTGGCTTTTTTTGTTCCCGGACTTGGCCGATTTTAGGCAACCTGAATTATACACCACTACCTCTTGGAGAAATACATTTCGTGGTACGCATATGTACCAATACGTAGTCAACGTGTTAAACAAGGAAAGAAGATTTTTTTTCGGCGATGGTTTGTCGACTCGGAGGCAAAGTGTGGTAAAATGTGCGAAACGAGTGTTTTTCTGAATGAAAGTGGCTCCAGAGATGGATGGGTTGACATGACTCATTTAGCTTTAATTCAAAGATAAGTTAACATAATTTTACTTTACGGGTATCTACCTGGCATTTATGCAACCATGTAGTGTCATGTATGTTAAAAAGCGTTCATAAAGCATCGTGTTAAATTGAATGAGGTAAATTTAGACGCCGTGATTTCTTAAATCAAACGACAGAGAGTGAAAAAAGTATACTTTAATTTCCGTTGTGCATTTTTGAAAATAAACGTCTTGGATACCACGAAAGAGATCAGTGTTTAGTAATAACTGAAAATAAAGCTCATGAGATGGCTTGAATTACGGTATTCAAGAAAGATTGTCTTGGCATTTGTCATGCTTGTAACAACTGCAGACGCTACGGTAAATAATTAGGAGTAACCAAAACAAAACGTCAAAAGAACTACAAATTATCATGAATCTTAAGTGCAATATTGAATAAAACTCATATGGCGTCAATTTTGTTACATGATGGGGAACAAAAATTTATAATGAGTCGCGATGATGCCCAGTTAGGAGCTCCTGGTTTATATTAAGGCTCACCGACTGGACAAGGACTTGATGAGGCGACAAATTTTTATTCATCAACATGAATATCACTAGAGACCAGACGTTGAATAATAGACACTCACTTTATTATGGTTGAATATTCCTGAAAACGGTTTCCATAGATAAATTGCTATAAAATAACTTGATTAAAAAAGTTAAAAACAAGCTCGTGGCCACTGTATTAATTGTGTGGTGATATAAATTATCGAGATCGACTATAAATTTTTAGCTTATTATAAATGTGAGAAATGCAGTGCAGCATATATACATTTAATTTATTCATAATTGTTTCTTGTGAGATGAAATAGGCTACTGAAAACAAAAAAGAAATTGTTTGTTTGCTGAGTACAACGCAAAAATGAGAATAGAGATGAATTGTACAGGAATTCATTGCCCAAAACGCCACCTGAATAAAAAATGTTCTTGTTAGGAAAGTTTTAAGCCTCGATCAATTCTTTCCATTTCCACAAATGGACAATGTGATCACGATGGCGTCATTTTTAAAAGTCAATAATAATATTAGAATATGATTTCTAACGAGAAAAGTGTATTTTACCAGTTCATAATTCACATGGCTCCATAAAACCCTGCTTTTCTTCAGCAAATTCCAAAATTTCAAGGTGCAGGGTTTCCTTGCGATGTTTTTATTAGGTGATCTGATTTTTAATGCAGAATTTTTTGCTGACTTTCTCGCACAACACAAAACATTCGCGTACCGAAAGTACAACTCTGTAAAGCAACACGAAAACAAATGTGTTCTTTTTTTCAAAGCCGCGATGGATAGACTTCAGTCAAAGCAGAGCTGGCCGAATAGTAGCGCCGGTATCTCTTCATTGTTGCGACGTTAACGAGGGCTGCGGATGTCAGACGATGCGTGTACAGCGGGCGGTACAAGGGGAACCTCTACTTCATTAGCAGCACTTAAATGGTCTAATAATGCTAGCACTAAACGACTTTCAATGTAAATGTCACGCACATGAGCTGATAATTTGTTTGTGAAGCAGTGAAACGTTTACATTAACCGAGACGACAACATTTTCAGCAAGAAAGGAGTTTAGATCTGAAGATGAAGACAGCTTGCACAGAAATCCGTTTGCAAGAGAATATTAGGATGATGCCAGGCATTTAAATATTTGAAGTGAGAATAGAGCATTGATTAAATAAATTAATAGTAAAATAAGTAAGATCTGAACATAAATACAAAATTTTCTTTTTGCTAAGACTATGACACTTTTTTCATTACAAATTTCGACCCATTTCAATAATCACGTCTCTTCATCAACATTGCATCAACTGAATTCAAAATTATGCATAAATCTGTTTAAAAGGGCAGAAATATTCACTCTCTCGTGTGTTTCATTTTCAAACCATCCTTTCAGAAATCGGATCGTTCTTTGATATAACGATAAACATTTGCTCACAGATCGACTTAGCTAAGCTTCTTATACACGTTCCTCTATTGATTGCATTTGTAATAAAGTTATGCACATTAATTTCAACTGCTCTCACTCAACTAGGACAGCCAAGGTGGCAGAGTGTATGCTTAATGATGTCATGCATATCATTGCATATGCTTGATATGCATATGACCCTGTCATATGTGTCATGGTGTTTGTTGCTTCGTTTCTCTCGCAATTTGCATTAAACAAACACTGCGATACGCCATCGTCATCAAAAGTTTCAAAGCAATGAAATAAGTGAATAATAATTGAATAGGATTTTTTATCATATGAGCATCGGTGTCTTATGAGTGAAAATTTAAACACTTGATTGTTTACTTTAATTTAGTTGCTTAAACTTTACGTGGGTGTATTCTTTTGTCAGGAGTTTACTTTTCTAAGCCCTAATGGTACATTACAAAAATAACTGGATTTAAATCTCAATTAGCAAGTAATATGAATAAATTCATACGTAATCCTTGATTAATTTATTTGTAGTTGAAGTGTTGCTTCTCACAATTGAAAACATTTATTGCTTTTTTTTTCTCTCTCAGTTGTAAAAGAATTTTTTCTTCAAATTGGTCTTACAAATCGCATGCATCAATTTCGACTGGTAATTTTAAAATGCACTATTAATTCAACTGCAAATTTTGTATCATTCAGTGAATGCTAAATCACGATCACAACTCTAGAATCTTAACTAAAATACAATATAAAAATAAACTCACCTCTGCAGGAAAAAAATGATTCTGCAAGCTGTGCTCCGATCCTGAGCTTGATCCCGACCACCTCACAGTTATGTGACTGAGGGCGTACTTGTAATGGAATGGTCCATGAGAGACTACAAAGGGCTTGGGTGGAGGTCCCCTCGAAGCGTTAAGGTAAGGAGAAGAAGAAGAAGAAGAAGAAGAAGAAGAAGAAGAAGCTTCGAGGCCGGTAGTGCCAGTGAACCTAAATGCTTGGGTGCTTCTGACACCGTCAGTAGCGGACAGGGTGCCATCACCGTGCCATGATTCCCGTAGCACGGAAGATCCCATGGCTTCAGAACCTCCCCTTGATGAGCTGGACTCTGAGTACGAAGAAGGATTCGATGGCGATTGTCTCGTTGCACTCGTTAATTTCGACGGAATCGGGAGGCCGGGAGAAGACTGAGCATATAAATGGTGACCCTTGTGCCGCGGCAGCGCGGAGGCAGGAGTCCAGCGTAGACCAAAGCCTGTGTTCGTTAACGTGCCGTCCATCTGAAATGAAATGAAGTCTTCATTTTTATAAAAATTTTCTTCTATCAGATTACCATGAAATTTCGCACTTTTATTCCTTAATACTAGACTGTGCCCTTTTTGAAAACGCAAGCTGCTGCTCCATTAAAAATCTACAGCATAAAGTGACTTTTACTATGAATGCGGAACACGTTCAATGCTGGAATTGCTTTAGAATCATTTAAACAAATAATTATTGTCAAGAATGAATTAGTCAGCCCTCCTTTTGCTGCGAGTGTTTGTAAAAGCGTTGTCGATTCCAACAGATAATGTTATATTAACATTCCATTACAGAGAGTTCAACAAAATGTTCCACATTTCACGAGAACGTTTCAGCCCCGAAAAAAGTTAACGCTTAGCCAAAGTTTTCGACAAATGCAGGCGACTTCTAAAACAATCCAGGAATCTTCCTCCAAAAAATGCCAACTAATTACATAACTGGAAGCTTTTTCACGGCAGCGATTCTGTAATTTGTTGCCCTGGAATCGACAGAGCGATTCCAAGCACATGGTTTTTCGCAACTGCTGGAATGCTCTGGACGTTTGGCCGCTCTGATCTGGATCACGCCTGACGTTATGCGATTAAAGGATTGGCTCCGAAACAAGTGAAATAATTAAAGGCAAACTGGAAATATAATTTTCTCTGTTTGGTTTTGTGAACAGTTGTCAAATATTTTTTGTTAATGCGACTGAATTGCTAATTTTATTAGCTCCGTACTATCTGCAATCACTCATGGAAAATTGAGTGCACTAAACAATGAGATAAATTTTATGTCACAAATCGTATAAATCAAAATTATTTCATAGTGGACAACGCTAATAAATGATTGACGTAGGCGCCTATGGATGCCTATAATTTTGTTAAAAATTTACTGAAAACAATTTAGTAAATATGAATTTCAAGTGACAATAAAAGAAAGAGAACAATCAGATAGAACAAACATGTAAAATTAGATAGGAGAAAAAATTTTGGAGATTTTTTAGATGCATCTTTTTCATATAATTTATACACTAGCAAATCTGTTTCCTAAGACAACGAGATAAAAGCTTTCAGTTAAATCAGGGCAATTGAATTTGTTGACCAGTGCATGCAATTCTATGTGGCTCTACCTGGTTCTGTATATACGTTAGATTTAATGCCTAGCATATTATCCGATCTTATTTCTACATAGTTTCTGTTAACCTCATAGATTTCTTCGTTTAACTTATAGCGTTCACTAATAACCTCATCACCTTTATTATACTCGTCATAACGTCTGTTAAAACCTCATCATCTTCTCTATTAACCTCATCACATACATTATTACCCCATCATATTTTCTATATACCTCAAAATATCCATTATTAACCGTATCATCTTCTCTATCAACTTCACCACAACCATTGTTAACCTCATTACATAATCTATTAACCTAATCACATCTATTATAAACCTCATTAGCTTCTCTATCAACCTGATCACATCTGCTATTAACCTCATTTCCTATTCTATGAACCTGATCACATCTATTATTAACCTCATTTCCTACTCTATCAGCCTTATCACATTTATTATTGACCTTTTTGCCTATTCTATCAACCTCATCACATCCATTATGTATCCTACTTTATATCAACAATATCATCGTCTTCAGCACCATCATCGTCTTCATTAACATCACAACATGGTAATTTTTAACGATTTACTTCCCTCACTCACACACCTCATTGCCGTCCATGACGATGGGTGCCAGGGTGTGATCGAACACCACCGCCTCAGTGGCCAGATTGACGGGACTCTGCCTACGGCCGTCGCTGCATAACCGCCAGCCGCGGTTGATGACGCCCCAGAAAGAGGGGCCTGAGATGCCGTCATATCCCCACCACGTGCCCCAGTCGAAGTCCGTTGTGTGGACTCCTGTTGTGGGAGATATATTGCGCTGATCTTTGTCGGGGAAGGCAAAACATGAGGGAAGGCCAATCATGGGGACTTCTGATAGAAGAAGCCTTAAGAGAAAGGAAGTAAAAGAGAAATGGAATACTGCGACCTTATGTGGGGGAAAGGTGAGTACTGTTGTGTGGACTCCTGTTGTAGGAGATATATTGCGCTGACTTTTGTCGGGGAAGGCAAAACATGGGGTCTTCTGAATCCGAAAGAAGCTATCCGAGAAAGAAAGATTTGAGAGGTGGAAGTTGTGTGAACTCTTGTAGGGAGAGGAAGGTGAGTTGTGGGGACGCCTGTTGTGTTACCCTTTGGGTGGATGAAGAGCAAATGAGTTGGTAGTCCTTAAAACAATATAACTCAGTACTCAGAGCAGTGAGTGACAGAGAGCGCATTTTCTCGTCGACGAAAACGTTAAGTCACGGACGGACAGACGGACGGACATGACGAGCACAATAGTGCATTTTTTCCATAGATGAGCAAATGCGTTAAAAAGAGGGTAAAATGTGTGACTTCCTGTAGGGAGAACGTAAGTTGGTTATATGCTAGTGGGGAGAAAATACGTTTCGAGATAACCTGTTGGGAGAGAGTATGTTTTGAGAGCCACCGCACCGAGAAAGTATGTTGTGAGAGCGCCAGCGAGGAGACAGTAAGTTGAATAGGAGTCCATTTAACACGTTCCCCGAGTATCTGGATTGCACAACTTTTGCAGTCAACCTTTCGTGTGAACCTAAATATTCTAAAATAGAAAGATTACTACGAAGTTTTGAGTTATATGTGTTTTATCGAAACTGCTTAAAATATTGCGTTTGGCACGCTGGTGTCCCAATACGCAGCAGTGGAATATCATTGTTGGTCCACATATGGCCCAATACGCGGTGAACCTTTTAAAATAAGATAAGTTCTGTCGCAAATTGCGCAAACCTTGTTCGATGAAAATATGTTCTGCGAATCTACGTGTGAATCCTCAAGTTGAGTGACTTCCCGAGTTAAAAAGTAATTTGAGTTGTATAATAAAAATTAAAGTTTGTGAATAGGTGTAGGGGTTGGGCAAGTTGCGTCAACCCTCTAGTGGAAAAGTTAAAGGTCGGCGAACCACTATGATAAAATCTGACTGAACCTTTATTAGAATAAGTGTCTACGTGACGTGTGTAAATGCGAGAAGAAATGATGTTCAGTGAACTCGTGTGAGAAGAGGGATGAAAAAGATTTTGGGTTATAGATGTTACTTTTTTCAAGATATCATACTTGGTAATGATAAGGAACATACTTGTTTGCTTATTTAATACAAGCATTTTTTGCAAAGTTTTCCTGTAAATTTTCAAGTTTGAAAATTTGTGGGGAGAAGATCTAGCATGCAGTTATGTCGGATGTTGAATAGTATTCATAATCAATAATATCATGCTTATATTTTGAAATGAAACACTAAATGTCGGCAATAATTAGCCCGTGATGAGCCAACAAAAAATTCAAGCAAAACATAGCAGCCTGGGCTCATCAAAACGCTCATAAATTTTCATTTGGGCCATCACGTAGCTTAGAGGCCAGGGCCTTGCCGCCGACATGCGAGCACATCTAGCTTCTCGTATTATACCCATATGTTACATAACATCGAGCTTTGGCCTCTAATAAACATGCATTCAAAAAAAAAATCCACAACGCAGAAATAGCATCATCATTATTATGGAGCAGAAACCTTTCGAGCTATCAATGTTCCATATTGAATAGTCATTACGAGTACTTGAACAAAATCTTCACATTGTCTTCAAATAGAAGCATACAGTAGCTAAGATGATTAAAAATTCATGGTCTCACAGAATAAACTTTTATTTTAGACTTTCATCAGGCAATTTTAAAAACATTCAAAATATCTCAGAAAAAGGTGAGAATTTGCTATGAATGGTTCCTTTCTAGCATAAATAAAGAATCAAATACAAAATGAGGAAACAGAATTAATCTGACGTTTTCAACAGAGCGAGCAATGCTCTGTTAAAGGTATTTTCTTTTTAAAATGTTCCTGCAAGCTGCTAATGAAAATAATATACTTGACGCAAAATTAAGTTTCAAACAATAACAATGAGAATTCAGGCGGCTTAAGTAGCTTTAGGAAACGTAGCCACTTAGCATTTATATATAAAATTTTATTTGCAAGGGCATCTTTTGTTTCACATTTAATCTCGAGAAGATGGCGTCAGAATTGTATTACGAGTAGTTTTAAGGGTACACTTTGCATTTGAAAATCCAATTACACATGTCTGCTCCACTGTTTCCTCGAAAGTAAATGAGACTTCCAACTTACAGTCTCACTTACGGTCCAAGATATCATTAAGATCTTGCTTATAATTAATTCAGGGGTTTAGAGTTGCACGGGAAGCTCTTTACGATCTCTGGCTCGGCTCGTGGGTTTCACGTATGAAAACCGCAGTGTTGGATACAATGATAGGGTCGCATTAGATGTAAATTGTGTAACTGAGTGGTAAATATATAATTAAATAAAAATATCTTTCCATAATGTTATAATATTTGTGTAAAAATAGCTTGGTGACACAAAATTTTTATACTCTATTTCATAACACGAAAAAAGTTGTAACTGCATAATGATCGATTTAAAAAATTGAATAAACCATTTTCCAGAAAGCATCACCAATTCAATGAACAATGTTTGTCTTGTGTTAAATAATATTTATTTTATTTTTCATTTTGTAATAATATTTGTGTGAAAATATCTTACTGACACAAAATTTTCATACATTATTTTATAACATGAAAAGTTATAACTGCATAGCGATCAATATAGAAAATTTATTATAACACGTTTCAGAAAGCATCAACAATTCAATGAACATTAGCTGTCTTGTGTTAAATAATTTTTATTTAAAATTGTCTCAAGTAAAAGTTTTTTGCTGTCAATTTAAATTCTTATCCATTTGAGTTCCTTCCTCATTCAAAATGCATTCTTTACCGAGAAGATATCTCCCTGTACGCAGGAATTCAAAATTGTAGTTAGAGGAAAAATATTATTTTCTCTAAAGTCCACGGAGATTTCCCTGATCATTTAAGTAACATAGATAATGTGCTCAGAATTTTTTAAAGAGATCAAAAATTGTTCAAAACATTCAAATGCATCAACTAATGGATTTACCAGGAATTAACGGTACGGCAATGAACATAATGCTGCTCTCACTGATATAATTTTTTTCGTGACGAATCGATGAGTTGATTTACACTGTGTCTCAAATAACAAGAATAAGAGCTTTTCACTCTCAATTTTATGATTTTAAGGTTTCAGTTTCAAATGTAACATGGTCAAAACATATGTAAAGATGAAGAAGAAATAATAATAACCAGGGATGCATGAACCTAGAAACTGATTTTATTTATTTGGTTCCTTACTTTGCGCTGAAAACGTACTTTGAATGGCAGATGTACACAGAATATTGTAGCGAGACTCACACACTGCATTAGAGTGATAATGCACTGTGTGAACGGCTCGCCTAACGAGACGCGCTAAGAACTTTAATACAATAACAAGGGCGGCCAAGAGGGTCGCTCTTAGAGTTGCAGAGCATTATTGCTTGTGAGACTTGCTTGGTACGGACGTCTTCGTAATGAGACGTGCCTCACTTCTTTTTCCTTTGCAAACAAATCTGGGCAATGCATTGCAATTAAAATTACTAAAAAATTAAATGTAGCAAGACGGATCTTATAACAAGTGCCATATGATGGCAATATTTTTACAGTTTGATTATTTTTAATGAATGAGAAGCAACGAATGAGAAACTTATCAAGGGCTAATTATTTATACGAATAAAACTTATAATAACGTGAATTGATAAAATTGTGAAGAAATTATTTCATGGGAATCTGATGAAGAATCAAGAGGTTTGATTATCTTGATGGTTACCGAAATTTACGAGAAATGATCGAAAGAAATGATAATTCTCCATATGAACATAAATATGAAAACTTATAATAAAAAGAATGCTAATGAATCTAGTTATGTCTATACCCTCAACATGAATAAAATGTAGAGACTCTTCATGACCGCTTTTCTAATCAGGGACATAAATCAAAATTTCTTTAACGGTACGCTCAATCTGACCTTCCATGAGCGTATTTGTCCATGGTGAACAATTTCATATTGCAGTGATCAGAAATGGGCGAATGGTGATGGTAACAATGAAGGGAAACTTGGAGTCGTCTAAGAAAAATATGCATATATTTAATTCTCCTGAAATTGGAAAGGACTGAAAGAAAGGAAAACCTACCTTCATGTGAATGTTGTTATGTTCCAGTATTTGAATTTACATTCTATGCATTAAATATCACCCAAAAGATTTCCTGTCTAATTAATAGTTGCTATTTGTCAGAAGTACGAAATTCGGCAAGAATTTAAAAAACAAGGAAAGCGATCAATAAATGCAAAATTTTTTCATCGACAACGTTTCGGAAACCAGCTCCTTCATAAGGTCAAGAAAATATAATTAATTTACGTAAAGTTGTAATTGATTTAAATTCTTGTGAGCTTACGATTTTGGCAGACTACTAATATAATTACTTATTTTAAAACTTGATTACAGTTAATTTGCAGAATAGTTAAAAATATTTTTTGGTCTTACCAAAATCTACCGATGTGTTACATTCACCAATACTGAAGGCGTGTAGCGATTGCCGCACACCATGCCAATTTATTAACTGTAAGCAATTTATGGAGAACATAACATGGAATAATTATGAACTCATAAAAGAGGTGAGTTTTTACCGCGGCTATGCTTATGTGCATGGGCGGAGCCCTGCCGAGCTCAGGGCACGAGAACACTCAAAAAACTACCCGCTGTGGCAATTTATGAGCATCGTGGAAAAGCGAAAATTCTCCGTCGAGCTTAACTCGGAACAAATTCTGGTAAAAATACTCAATGGTGTGTTTTCTTTGAAAAAATTATTATTTTCGCACTGTACAAGCAAACAATAATTTGTTGCATTGAAGATAACAGAGCGGGTTTCTAACTTCTAAGATAGAAGGGTAACTTAATGCTGATGCGATTGATTTATAAAAGTTAATTATCATGGGCGCAGAAGGACATTTATATGGCATATTTTTAAGCATAATATTAAGTAATGACGCTTAATCTATTCAGCCAATACTTACAGGTGCTTTTGATAAGAGATTGTATGATTTTCTCAATGATAACACAATCAATGGAAATTACAGAATCAAAACTCGTTCGTAAGACTAGCCCATCTCAGACCGGCAATCCACAATCAGCCATTTCAATGGCGCATTGCCGCTGCTTTGCTCACGTTTCACTAATGGACTTCGTATCGATTTCTGAAACTGCATCGAATTTCAATGCGAAGCGTATCGTTACGTAGTCTTGGCTGCAGGCCTTCTCACAAATTATCTGTTTCTATAATTGATGAATTTTAATAAACTTACATCCGAGTTACATCCTATAAATAAATCAGCATCCGTTAAAAAATCGCTTGGTTGGAGAAAAGTGATGTAATGAGTCATTGCACTAGAGCTGTTGTATGTTAAATGTATTAGATTAATGTTCACATGATTTATCATTTGGTCAAATGTGCTATTATAATTACCGTAACTAGAAAGACATTCGGATTACTAGTAACATCATTAATTATTGTACTCAGAGTTTTAGCATAACACAACACATCCAACACGGCTGTACTCACCCTCTGCTGTGTTGTAGCATAACACAACACATCCAACACGGCTGTACTCACCCTCTGCTGTGTTGTAGCACAACACAACACATCCAACACGGCGGTACTCACCCTCTGCTGTGTTGTAGCACAACACAACACATCCAACACGGCGGTACTCACCCTCTGCAGAGTTGTAGCACAACACAACACATCCAACACTGCGGTACTCACCCTCTGCTGTGTTGTAGCACAACACGGATGTTGCACTCATCAGCAGGAATATGCTACCCAAGACAACTTGTGTCATCGACGCAAGTTTTGTCCATTTCTGTGCGTCGTGACTGTCTTCTCTTCTTAATGTCGTGGGACGCGGGCGCTGCAGTCGCATATACTGAAGGCTGTGCAGCACTTGCCGCACACCAAATAATATTTCTGATGCAGCCATCAAGTCTCACTGGACACTCAAAATAGACGCATGAGGATGGACTGTATTACGACTTTTTACTTCGTATTTCGTATACGGATGTTTGGGGACTGAACATGTTTAAGGCCATTTAAATTCCTGGCTTTACATAAATGTTCAAGTCTTAGAAAATTTCGGAGCTATGTTCTTATTCACAGATTTGCTTGTATCAGATTGGCCATAAAGAATAGAGCAATGGAAGTCTAATTCAAATGGAATTATGAAATCGTAATTTGTCTTACGTTAATTGAAATAAATGCATAAATTACTTGTTGCCACATCACTTTTATTCGACATTAAAAACCAGATAATTGTATTTTTTATTGAATCTACAAATTTATCAGCCAATTTCTGAAAGGTATTTAACAAAGAATAAAGAAATAAGTTGCTAAATTAATGAAAATGTCTTATCATGATTGAAGGCAGCAGCGAAAGCCACAGAACGACATTGACTCGGCAGCAAAGCTGATTTATTTCACACACTACAACAGAGACGCAAAGTTTTTCTGCAACACGGCTGCACACAACACAGTAACATCATCCAGCACAACAACATCATCCAGCACAGTAACATCATCCAGCACAGCAACTTCATCTAGCATAACAACATCATCCAGCAAAGTAACATCATCCAGCAAAACATCACCCAGCACATCATCACCCAGCATAGAAATATCACCCAGCGCAACATCACCCAGTGCAACATCACCCAACACAACATCACCCAGCACAAGTCCCTCAGTCCTAAGCAACACTCAGTACAGCAACATCACCCAGCACAACATCACCCAGCACAACATCACCCAGCACAACATCACCCAGCACAACATCACCCAACGCAACATCACCCAGCACAACACCACCCAGCACAACATCACCCAACACAACATCACCCAGCACAACATCACCCAACACAGCAACATCACCCAGCACAACATCACCCAGCACAACATCACCCAGCACAGCAACACCCAGCACAACATCACCCAGCACAACACCACCCAGCCCAACATCACCCAGCATAACATCACCCAGCACAACAACATCACCCAGCCCAACATCACCCAGCACAACATCACCCATCACAACATCACCCAGCACAACATCTCCAGCACAACATCACCCAGCACAACATCACCCAGCACATAACCGCCCAGCACAACATAACCCATCACATGTCCCCCAGTCCTAAGCAACACCCATCACATGTCCCCCAGTCCTAAGCATAGCTCAGCCCAGCAAACACTGTAAGTGCAGGCGTGACAGACACGACTGTTCCTGTTGATTCTTTGCAAGCAGAAGGCCAGCGTGGCTCCACATTCCACTTTGCCTGTTATTGCCTCGACACTCCCGAAGATCCAAGGCGCTGTCCATACCTCACGCGTTGTTAATTATTTGATTCCTCTCGTGAATTCAACTAATGTAGAATGAAAATGATGATTCTTTTTACTGCCAAACTCTGAGAAATGCTAGAATCTCGGTCAAAAATTATTTAGGTTCCCTGATCGTATTTTCTGAGATGGTTTTATGTTCAAAGAGGACATTCCATTTATCGTGTGCGTGACCATTAATCGTATCTAATATCTAACTACATTCAGAAATAAAAACCATAACTTTCGGAACTGTAAGTATACACGTTGATCAAATTGAACACGTTGATCAAAATCCATATAATTTACTTTAGTTTCGTAATTCGCGAATTTCAGATACAGAAAGTAGACGCGCGGTTAATAATGTGTTTCTTACCATTACATTGCGATGTCTTTGCCTTCTTTGTCAGTTGCGATCCTCGTTCATAAATGAATCATACGACGCTTAGTTTACATCAATAGTCGAGCACACACATAAACGCTCACTGTTTGAACCTCAAACATTTGACTTTGATGACAGATCACTTTCCATAGCTTTGATAAGCTTCGTTTATATTGTTCTAAGTGATATGTGTGCTGTATGGTATTGAGGTGCAGCATTAAGGAATCCCTATAATATTAAAAATGAAGAAATCTAATCAGGAGTGATGACATTTAAATTGCCAATCTGTAAAACAGAGGTCAACGAAGAAAATTTCACACTAGAAGCAACATCTAATGGAGGAACTCCAAAAGTAACTTCCACCACTTTTGGAATTGCATACATGAGCCCGAGACATATACTGTTCATTTGACAGCAGGACATTCAATAAGGTAAAGGCTACAAACACCAGGCGCTGTATTTTAGAGGGACTCTAAATCAAGAGGTGAGGAGCGAGCAGGCGCAACAGGCCGCGTCGTGTGCTCTGCTAACTCGAGAGGAGTTATGGCGTCGCGGCAACGTAGCCTTCTCCTCTGAATACTGAGTTGCGCCAGAGAAAAGTGATGGCGTAGCGGCGACGTCGTCTTCTCCGCTGAATATTGAGTTGCGTCAGAGAGAAGTGATGGCGTCGCTGCAACGTCGCCTTCTCCTCTGAATATTGAGTTGCGTCAGAGAAAAGTGATGGCGTCGCTGCAACGTCGCCTTCTCCTCTGAATACTGAGTTGCGTCAGAGAAAAGTGATGGCGTCGCTGCAACGTCGCCTTCTCCTCTGAATACTGAGTTGCGCCAGAGAAAAGTGATGGCGTAGCGGCGACGTCGTCTTCTCATCTGAATATTGAGTTGCGCCAGAGAAAAGTGATGGCGTAACGACGACGTCGTCTTCTCTTCTGAATATTGAGTTGCGCCAGAGAAAAGTGATGGCGTCGCTGCAACGTCGTCTTCTCTTCTGAATACTGAGTTGCGCCAGAGAAAAGTGATGGCGTAGCGACGACGTCGTCTTCTCTGCTGAGGCAAGAGTTTCACTAATGTAATCCATTTGTAAGGCTCAGTTCAATATTATTTTAGAATAAATTAAGAAATTTGAAATCGTTATTCGAACACTAGCGTTTTGATTCGAAAATCAGAGGGAAGAAAGACTTTGCTCGACTATAATTCAAGAATATGGAGTTGGTTTCAGTTCCCTTACAAACTGCAACTTGTGATGAATAATCTGTGGGGTAAGTGCCAGTCATTACCCACACAGTAAAACAAGAATGGAAATGAAAGAGACTGGAACTGAGATTTTACTGCAAGGCAAATTAACAAGAAGGTTGGTTTTGAATATAAGTATCAAGATGGAAAAATAGTGTAAAGAATAAAACCCTTGGCAACGTGCGTATCTGCAGCGGGGATCAGCCGAACAATAATGACTAACGAGAAAATTCTGCGCGCGACGTTAACTTCCTACCGGTGTTGCCAAGGTAAAGGTAAATCATAATCTTATTACAAAATAAAAGTCGCAAAATGCCTTAACACTACAAATCATCTTCTCCTCATTTCTTATTGACATCCAGGAATACCTCTTTCAAATTATAGGTAGATAATCGGCGGGTTCAATTTAAAATAGATTGTAGTATAATTATTCACCGATTATTTTCTTTGTGGGAAGGAGGCTGCTCGCATAATTGACCGATCATTCAGGAAGTTCTGCAAAAACTGAGCGGAGCAAGTTGCGCAAGATTGCAACTAATTGAGTTGAACCGTTACTGGTCGGCTGCGTTCATCTCTGACAAGCCTGCTTTTCTTGCGGCCGTGGCACAAGTCCAGCTCTGGCACATTGATCGGGTCTTCAAGGTTCACAACGTCGCTTCTTTTGACACCGAAAATGCTGAAGAAAGCCTCGAAATTCAATCAACGGTGTGATGTAAGTTGATTGCTTCCAGGGGACGACGGAGGTGACTTATTAAAGAAAAGTGGGATGTCGTACCGAGTCCAAGCTTATATTGAAGAAATTGGAAATTCAGCGAATCAATTATCACTAAAGAAGGTAAAATTTTATAAAACAAAGAGGCCTTGTGCATGTTTTAAATGTTTTACTTATAAAATACTGGTAAAAAGTGAACGAATACTCCTGCAAATAGTGATACATTTTTGGTTTACTTTTCATGCAGAAAAGTGATTCTATTTGGTATTATATTTACAATTTCATTCCTTGTGAATTTTTTAGCCTGTTCCGCAGAAACGACCGTTTTGCTTGGCTATACATTATTTGAACATAATTTAGTTAAGGATCTCGGGAGTTATTTAGTTGAGGTACTTATCAAAAACACCAAGTGACCTTATCACTGAAATGCAACGATATTTTCCCATGAATTTAATATGTTCTAAAAGCTTCATGTGTTCGGCAAAGTTCTATGTCATCGTGGGTCAGAATTTTGTGACATTAAGACTCGTATTTTATCCTCCAGGCTTTGCCCTTTACCCATCATGCATTGGTGCATCTTACCATAATATAACCTTTTGCATAATATAACAGCCTGGATACTGCCTCCATAAGTGGACTGGATGCAATAAAAGTGATCTTATATTTTTCAAGCCACAGCAATGCGGACGAAGCCGCGACACCTGATGTCATTATTCACGCGGATCGAACGTGAGAAAAAAAAGAGAAGAATAAAAGAGTGACGCTCCGTCCTACCCGCGGTTGTCTTCTTCGGCAATGACGGCCAGCGCAAAAAAAAAACAAGAAAATTTTCTAGCGGGTGACTTCGTTTACAGCACTGGAGTACAAGGCTTATTTTCATGGTGTTAATAGCCGCGTTTGTCAATCGTGAAGGCCGATGAAAATCTCCCATTTCATCAACAGGCCATTTATTTGCTGCAACTTCAGTCAGCCCTATTGCCTATAGTAGTGTCTCTAATGCCTGATCAAAAAATAAATTTGTCATTGGCCAAATCATAATTGACCCAATTATAAAGTAGGAGTAAATAATCCTTCGTCTTGTATTCGGATATAAATTCAATAAAAATTTATATTTCCTACTTCCTGTGCGTTTATGACCGTTCTGAAATCTAGGAACATTCAGTAGAATTTGATTAATTCGAAATGATTCGAACGCATTGTTGACTTCCAAACGAGCATCAGTCAATGTTCATACAAATTACCCAAAAACGACATTCGCGCAACATATACAGTATACTCTATGTTGGAAATGGCTATATGTTAATTATTATTATCAGTGCTACATTTTGATTATGTAACCTGATCATCAGTACATAATCAAAAAACCTCACGTATAATACTTCACCATCACCATATAACACATCACGACGGGCCTAAATATGAAATGCACATAAAGGCGAGAACAATAAATAACAGCAATACCTACACATGCAGCTTTTATAACACCACGCAGCCCACATCACTGGCCTTTACTCATATTCACGTATTCATGAGCTTAGCGATATCTCGATGACATCGCGACTGCAAGCCGATACCTATAATAAATAAGAAATGAGAACTGTCAACATCTGAGCAACGGTCCACAAGGAGCAACTTTGTGGCTATAATGCCACCGCTCCCGTGAAAGAAATGTTTTTCTGTGAACTTGGGCGTATCAAAAGCTTTTAATCTCTCATAAAATAGTTGATTTATTGTCTTGAATGCATGTTGTTACAACCACAGAGGTAAATAAGTACACCAATCGCTGAATTAATGGGTGCGATATGTTTGTTTTTACTGCTCTGATAGTGTATATATTTCCAGATAACTTTATCGAGTTTGATTTTTTTAGAATTAATTGATATAAATGGGATTCCTGTTGATATTTAATTACAATAGTGTTTCGATGATAAACGATATCATGTTTAAGAACATCTTTAGTTTGAAGCTATGGATTTATCTCAACATATTCTATCCTTGAATGTTGCAGACGAATCCTATTTTCCTTATGATATTTCGACGTGAATATATGAATATGATCTCCTTTATTTAACCATAAATCAGATAAATCCGTCGATTAATTTATCTTTCTCACTATATCGCCTAATTAACAATAAGGATGTTTTAGCAGTGACATTCTGAAATAATGTCAAGACCTGACACTAGAAAGAAATAACACGGAGTTTAGTTCAGCTTATGAATGCTCTAATTGTGTAATTTCAAGTGGCAAATTCCGTGTTTTGTAACCTTTATGTTCAACCACTGGATTAACTGAACTGATGCAAATTAATTAATCTGAATTTTTGAGAAATCATTGTATGAATGATTTTTTCGAAAAATATTGCTTTGGCTGTGCCTCAGAATGCAGTTTTCGCGTGTAATTTTGCTTATCTTCGTTTGAACGACTACGAATATATGACGAAGATATTAAAACGGT